CCCCAGCCCCAGATGCAGCGCCTGTGCTGACGCTCGAATCTGGCTGGCTGGTTGGCCTGTCTGGATGTCGGGTGTCTGTCGCGGCGTCCTTCCACCCTTCCCTCGGGACAGGTACGTATCTTTCCACACCAGCCTGGGTTGTGAAGTTCCATTGTGAGAGTATCCACTCGAGAACTGTGGGTCGCTCTTGTTCTGAAGAGTAGAGCCTTGTCTCCGGGATGGGGCCACGGCCATTCGAGGGGAGCCACTGGGGGGGAGCCACTGGAGCCACCGTGCTGTGATGGGTGACCAGTCACCAGCAGTCACCCAGCGAGGTGGGTTTTTAGTGCTACCACTGCCAGTCCACGTTTGGTTTGGTACCGCTCCCCAGCCCAGGTGAGGTGTGTCGCCGGTAAGGTCTGGTCTTCCGCCCCCGTCTGTTGTTTTTTTTTGGTTCTGCTGCCCGCTGTTCGCTGCCCCTGCTGCTGGAACTGCATGGCCCTTGTAACTGCACCAGCACCAGCAACCTGCGCTTTTGCTGCTGGCCAAGGACGTGGAGCCCTCTGCCCATGTTCCCCTTCAAACCCCTGTGCCTTCCCACCGCCCTCTTGGGACGCTGCACTGGGACCACTACCTGCGCTACCTACGCTACGCAGTGCATACGGTACGGCGCACCACTTACGCAGTAAAAAGGGCGGATACGCTTGACTTGGGTTGGTACACCACCTGGTTGGCCTTGGCTTGCCTTCCCACTTTTTCCAGACTTCCTTTCAACCACCTCCTCCCCGTCCACGTCCCGTCCGTCCTCTTCTTCCTCATCCTCCCCCCTTCTTACACCACACCCTCTTCCCGGCCGACTCATCCCGAACAACTAAAAAAGTAGTCGTTCGCGATTTCGACCTCTTCTTCTTCCTCACCGCCAGGCAATGGGAAGGAGATAGACACAACTATCGTGGAGGACTCAACCTTTCTCGCCCGTCAACATCGCCGCACCCGCCGCAACTCGACGTCGCCCGCTGCGCCGTGCTGCCTCGGTTCGCAACAACCGACGATCGACATCCAGCTCTCGCCTCCAGTCCGCTGATCAATCCCGACAGCGCGAACCACCACCCTCATACCACACACCTTTTGCACTTTTTCGCCTCTCGACCGCCACCACCAACGCTTCTTAAAGACGTTGCCGCGAGACACAATTGCTCCTCCGTCAACCGCATCGCCAAAACACCAATCCCAGCCCTGCTCGATTGTGGTTTTAGTGCACTGCAGATCTTCAACTCACCCCAGGAAATCCACAATTGACCCGGGATCCCACGTTTTGCAAACCAACGCTTCGTCACTACAACAACAGCAACAACAATCATGAGTTCGCCAGCGCAGGCCGGGCCTTCGGTCCCGAAGGAAAAGAAGGGCCTGGGAAAGATGCTCGCTAGAGCCAAGACCGTCTTCAAGGGATCCTCCTCCAAGCGCCAGTCGACCATTTCCACCTCTGGACAGCCTGCCGGACAGTCCAGCACTGCGTAAGCGCCAATTTCTTCCTATCATCCAACTCTTGCGATATCGCAATGGCCTGTATGACGAGTCTAACATGATCACAGTCCCGCCCCCGCCGCCGCCCCTACTGCCGCCCCCAAGGAGACCGCCAAGGAGCCGACCAAGAGCAAGTACGAGGACCTCGAGGGCGTCGTCAAGGTGCCCAGAGCCGAGTTGTTTGAGGAGCGCGCCAGAAAGTTGGGCGAGAGATTCGGCCTCGAGATTAAGCAGAGCGAGTGGATCTCCACCGAGGGCACCGCTCTCCGCGTCGAGAAGCCCATCCGCATGCGTGTTCACCGAACGTGCCACAAGTGCAACGCTACCTTCGCCGCCGCCAAAGAGTGCCCTACCTGCCAGCACGTCCGTTGCACCAAGTGCGTCCGCTACCCGCCCAAGCGGACCGAGGCCGAGCGCATCGCGAGCCGGGAGAAGCGCGCCGCCATCCTCAAGGCCCAGAAGGAGAACGCTCCCATCATCCCCGACTACTCGTACGATCCAAAGGACGCCAAGGACATCGTCCTCAAGCGCCCCAGCAAGACTGGAGGACAGGATCTCATTTACAAGAAGCCCAGACAGAGGGTTCGCAGAACCTGCCACGAGTGCCAGACGCTCTTTACCGCCGGCAGCAAGACATGCTCCAAGTGCAGCCACAACCGCTGCACCGACTGTCCCAGAGACCCGTACGTTGAACCCCCGTGACATGTCGACGCTGACTGCTAACCGCATCAACAGTCCCAAGAAGGACAAGTATCCGTTCGGATACCCTGGTGACGAGTTTGGGCCGAATGCTGTGCCGCATCACGAGTGCTACAAGTGCAAGACGATATTCCCCGGCGGGGCGGAGGACGGCACCGAGTGCAAGAAGTGTGGACACAAGAAAGACGCCAACTGTCCTCGCCTGAAGCCTCGCAAGGTCGAGCCAGAACCAGACCCGGAAATCCTCAAGAGCATACAAGCCAAGATCGAGGCTCTAAAACTCAAGTAATGCGACACTCCACTGTGTTTACACCGTCCGACTTTTATGAATTCGACTTGAAGGCGTCCGGGCATGGCGGGGTGAATGATGTCGAAGCTGTTTTGGTGCAGGGGGCGGGAGCGAGTACGCGACATTTCCTATTCATCTTCAAAATCCCTCGGGCGCACGTTTTCATCCGATTCTTTCCGTCGAACCAGCATTCATCGTTCCTTTCATATTGCAACACTACGAAACCACACGACCATCCATCATCTGCATCATCACAAACCTTCTCATTCCGCCACAACGGTCTCTCTGCATCGGCCAACGACACCAGAGGGATAACGAAGAACATGAAGCCTTGAAGCACATCACACACACTACGCGACCACGAACCCAGCATTGCCTCGACCACACAAAAGGCACCGTTTTCTGCCGACCAATGACAACCTCCAACTTGCTGCATACACCTTGCCCACCACACTGAAAAGAAACAGAAAAAGAAACGATAGGAGACGTACCCTGACGCACCTGAACTGGGAGGAGGGGGTGGATCAGGCCATAATCGCGGAAGACGGGACGAACCGGAGACACACGGCGGTTGAAGCGAAGAGAGACACGGAGAGAAAAGCAAAAAGGGAGTTGATAGGCGCTGTATCAAAGAGGGGAGTTGCATTTGCAGCGAGAAAGAAAAGAGCGGTAATGGGCAGAGAAACAGAACCGACAACGCGGGTCCAACATCAAGGGTGGCAGACTAGCCGTGCGGAAAGCGGATTATTCTTCTCTTTCTCATCACATTCTTCCCATCTCTCACGAATCACCCATTACAAATCATTTGTATCCAACGGATTAGGATTTTGCAAATCAGAATCGCCTTGGACAAGCTGTTTTTCCTTCTGTGTCATGATGCTTTCGTCAGACGGTGTCCGTGATGTGCCATCGGCCGTTGTCCTAACCACACTAGCAGACCATTATCATCTGACTTTACGACGAGTCGTCAACCAGCGATGTCACGTCGACTCGTGTAACCGTGTAACGTAGCCTGTCAGGTCATATTTCCAGAAACCGAACAAGAGGGCGAAAAAGCAAAGTTCATGCGCGCAACGCACACACAAGAAGTCTGACCGAGGTCTCCGGCGAGTAGGGAGGGCTAATCAGAGGGGAACCGCAATCCCGGGAAATCTGCCCATGACAGCACGCAAGCACGCACGCACGCACGTACAGAGTGAGAGGTGAGAGCGAGCCACGAGCCCGGGCGACGGGTTTAAGCAGAGGATTAATTTTGGCCGTGTGAATTAAGGGGTGTGTGTGTATGTGTGGTGCGTTCGTATCGCAGGGTATGTGTGTGAGTGTGTGGCGCGGGTCACCTACCTGGGTAGCGTAAAGGGGCGTGCGTGCGTAATGCCAATGACAATCAAACGAAAGAAAAAAAAGTTGGCGGTGAGTTGGAACACTTTGCCACGGGTTTGCAGGATGAGTCTCGTTGGGGGGAAACGAGATCTGCGCGGTCCATTTTCCTGGGTTCTCGCGGCTGTTGGTGCTGACGGAGACGGAACCCTTGGTCGTAATGTGTGTTTGCTCTGTTGGTTGGTGAATTGGTTTCCTAATCTGACGGGCGGCGGGAACGGGGGTAACGCCACGGACAAAACCGCCCGTGTGCGTGTGTGTGTGTGTGTGGTCGGCCTTCTTGGCCTTCTTGGCCTTCGTGGCCTTCTAGAAAAACGGGGGGCTGAGAGCATTGGATGGTGTGTTGATGGATGGTGGCTAAGACTTGTCTTGTTTTTTTATCTTCTTGCCAACGCGCCATCAGGTACCGACGAATGAAAAGCGCAGAATGGCCTATATTCTTCGTCCAAGTAGCGTGCTGACGGAGGGATCCCGGGAGTCTGGTCTGGGTGATAGTAGGACTTTGCTCTGCCATTGGATCATGCGAGATGACTTGGTGTGTGTGGGAAAGAGAGACAGGTGAGGCTGTGGCGCGGCGGGACTTGACGCGGTGATTGGTGAGTTGTGGATTTCTTTTTGGGGAGAAAATCTACGGGGGCCCTTTATCGAGCCTGCATGTGAATTCCACAACTGGAAGGAGCTGGTTTGATGTCCTCGTAACGTGTGGTTGTGATGTCGATGGCAATGTCTCGGTAGATGGGTTCGCAATGGAATTGGTCAAAGCGACAGAGCTGCCACCATGACTTCTTAAAACAGATTGCTATGGATGTGATATGTGCTCCCGTCGGCTTCCCCGAGAGCTATGCTGTGTGATCTTTCTAGTCTACCAAACTTCCTCCGTCAACGCCCCTCCTCCAATGATTGGTCCTGGATCTATTCTACAGGAAATGCTCTTCAGCCCTCTTCAACGGCCTGCCTTCCAATCAACGTTTATACCACGGCCAAGAGTATGTTCTAGTAATGTTCTCGGTGGCCACACGGCACCCATGGTCTGTCTCAGAGACAGGTTCTGGCGACAATCTCAAGGGTAATAATATCCATGATGGCGAGGCACCACCACTGGTCTCCCGGGACGTAGAGAAAAGGCTCTCTAGGCCTCTGTCTCCTCTCGTACCTCGTTTCCAAAGCGGATGGCACTGCCGGGCGGCAACGCGGGACCAATCGTCTCGGCGCGCGTGCTCTTGCGCCCAATGTAACCAGTCTTGAATCCGTCGATGCGCTGGTTGAGCCGCTGCTGCGCGTCCCTAACGATGCCTTGCTGCACCTCGGCGCCCACCTTTTGCTGGCCGTCGAGCAGAGGAAGGAGCTTGTGGGTTGGATAGAAGCGGCCCTTGAGCTCGCCCTCGCGGAGGACGGCGTTGTGCCGGAGAAGCACGCACCGCCAGCGCTCCGCCGGCGCAAACTTGTTTCGGAAGGCGCTCTCTTCGCGCAAGGGGCGCGGTAGCTTGTCCTCAGTCACGGGCATGCCGCCCACAGGCTTGTTATCGCCTGTGATGGGCTGATAGATGTCACCCTTGAAGAACACCGCGCCAGGCATATCCACCGCGGTGCAAATCTCTCGAAGGCCAAGCAGAGCGTCCGACAGGTTTGTAGCTGCCTCCGGAACCCCCGGCTGATCGGTAGTGATACGAATACGCAGGACGTCGCCGAGCTCGACGCGTTCCGCGCCAAGGAAAATGCCCTGGTAGTCTGTCTTTTTGCCGTCTTCGGTTGTCGAAAGGCGGGTAAACAATGAGTAAGACGAGCCAATCTTCTGAGCAGCCATCTTGGACGAATCTAACAGTATCACCTCGCGGCGGTGGGTGTCTTCGGGGTTCAGACTGCCAAGGAATTGCTGCCACGGCACGTCGTCGTACGCCTTGCCCTGCAGCTCTGGTATGCCCACACTTGGTACGGAGAAGGCAAGAAAAGGTCGGGCTGACGCCTCGATGAGCTGCACCGGAAGCTGGCCGAAGAGATAATGGGATATAGGGAGGATCTGGAGCGCCTCGGGTTTGCTATTCTTGGGGTTGATGATGCCCGTAGCTGCCACGACGCCAAGGCGCCAGCCGTTGGACATTTGGTGCCAAACCATCTCTCCGACGCGAAACAAGGCGCCCGGGTTGTGCGGCTGCTGAGGATAGGGAGGGAACTGCGTCTGCTGCTGGTAGGGTGCCTGGGCTATAGGCTGCTGGGGTTGTTGTGCCGGCGTCTGGACTCGAGGTTGAAGGGCTTGGGCCGGGGGTTGCGCCGGTGGCTGCGGTGGTGGCTGTGGCTGCGCCTGTGCCGGGACCTGTACTGGAACCTGTGGCGGCTGGACCGGTGTCTGGACGGGGGCTGGAGCCGGAGCCGGGACGGGCACGGCACGAGGCGGTATCGACGGCACCGGCACGGGGGTCTCCTTCTTCAGCGCGGGTGTCGGAACCGGTACGGGCGTTTCCTTCTTCGGGTTTGGTGGGGTCGCCGCTGCTGGCGCTGGTGAAGCAGTGCGACTGAGCGGCATCTGCGGCGTAATCTTGCGCATCTTGGACGGGGGCTGCGCATTCGTCGGCCCGGGTACCGGACGTGGGATCTCCGTCACGGTCAGCTCTTCGAGGGCAGGCATCTCTCGGACGTTGCAGTGAATGCACCGGCAGTCCATCCGGTCCGTAGAGTTGGAGAGGAGCCACAGCAGGTGGAGACCGAACTCTTGAGGGCTCTTGAAGAGCTTGGATTTGACGGGATAGCCTGATACCCAAAGGTGCTTAGACTTTTCGTATAACCAGTATCCCCGCGGGAAGTTGAGGAGCCATGACGGGCCTTCTGTGAGAGGGTCAGACGCATGAGTGACTTCGAGCGGCTCTGAACTCACCTGTTGGGTTCAGCTCCTGCTTCAGCAAGATTCCCAGCTTGATACGCCACTCCTGGAACCTTGGGTCGTCTTCGGCTAGCCGAATCATGTGAGGCTTCGCCCGTGGTACCTTGTCCAAAGGCGCCTTCTTCTTCGCAGCATCAGCCGGGGCTGGCCAGTAACCGGGACCGCTGTCCTGGCCATCGCTCCGGCAGATGTTAACCACCGCGAACTCGTCGGAAGACGTGGGCCCCGTCATGGTGAGGCGTGAGAGAGGTGAAGGTGCTGGATGCTGTTTAGGCTGAGCGACCGCCTCGGGTAGCGGCGACCCAGGAGACGCGTCGGAAATTCTCCTATGATATGGATGCAAAAGACAAAGGGCTCAGACTCTAGAAGAAAGAAAAAAAGATCAAATGAAAACCGCGTCTCTCATGTGCTAGCACATTCTGCACCAGAGGTGCTGTGTATGTGATGCGCCTCAGTCGCAAGCTGGAAGTGAGTGGATCTAGCCGCGTGGTGGGTTTACTTCAGTCGGGGCACGTGGGCCAATCGCTGCCGTCGTCCTGCCGCAGTGCTCTAGATGGCCAGGGCGGTTCGTCGCGTCGTGTGAAGTCGCTCGCAATGAATAATTATGAGTTAGGTGATAGACCAACCTGCTCTGTCGGGTTTGTTTGCCGTCGCAATGGAGCCTCAGGTGAGGTTGAAAGAGGTTGAATGTTGATGGAGCTTGACGGTGGACGTGCACGGCGCTAATCGTCTTAGTCAGCAGCGCTCATGCCCATTAGGCGTCGCCTTCGCTGGACCACAACGAAACACCAACAGTTGTCTAAAGTGCAAGTCTGACTCAACTTAGGTTCTGACCCAGGTAGGTAGGTTGGCTCTACAACCATGTCGCAGGATCACGGCAATGGAGTGAGATCAGAGATGCGTCGTATTCGATTTCAAGTGAACGACTTCATCACCACACCCTCATCCCTTTCCTGTACAATCATCTTCTCAGGCTGTATTTTGAGGAGTCTCGGCATTGGAAATTGCGACGACGGGGGAGCTAAGACTGGATCATTGCCAACAAGTTCCCTCCTGCACATTCATGCCGAAGCTGTACAGCGGCTCATTATCGTCGCAATGGAGCGATCGACGACATCTTCGGATCCCTCGTTTCGCGGTTCATTTCATCACTTCAGTCTCAGCTTTGAATTGCACACAAAGCCTCGATGTACAAATCGAAACAGAGCCTCGGCCCGGGTGGTATCATTTTGGTCATGAATCATAACTACTGCTTTGGATACAAATACACATTGCTAGGCTTAATCGGCTCAGGCACCAAGGGAAACTCGTCTTCGCCCGGCTTGCTTGAGCCATCCGCATTCAACTCTCTCAGCTGAATCCCAGCCCCGTCGCGCGTGGGCGTGTACACATCCAGATCGTTCCCGACATACGTGTCGAGAGACAGCCGTGGCGGGCGTGTGCCGCTCCTCTGGGAGTATGCCATCGACCGTCGGGCTCTCCTCGGAGACGCCTGCTTGCTCAGCCTGCGCAGCTTTTTCGGTACGAGCTTATTGACCAGGTAATCGCGAAATGTTTTGGTGGTCCCAAAAACGACAAATGTGAGGAGACTCGCAGAGACGCCGGGCAGGAAAAGTATGAGGTCCAGATGGAGGCGCTCCGTGCTGAGGTCCGGGCTGTCGCTCAACGAGTCACGATTGTTTTGGCGGGCAGATGATACTTGGAACATGATCGTGACCACCTGGAAAATGCTAAAAGTTCTAGTCAGTCGTCGGGGAACTAGGCGATGGATCAGGAGTTTATTCTCACGCTAATGCCACAAAGGCGATGCTGAATCGAACGACGAGCCATCTGTCGTATATACTCTGGCGGCGTTTCCCGTTACTAGTGTCGACCGCTAGAGTGTCGCTACTCTTGGTGCTGGCCGAACGTTGGCCATAGCGGACGTTCCATGATAAGAGGTTGCGGCGCGTGTGGATGTACTTGACCAAGATGACGATGAGAAGAACACCACTCCCGCTAAGACAAAAGCCCACTAGATATGTTGTCAGACGAAGCTATCCGATGGCTGCAGATGTCACTTACTGACTCCATCCGCCAGAAAGAGAAAAGGCACTGCTTGCTTTTGAACCGCCTCGAGTCGGAGAATGCCCATTAGCAAGGCGGGCAGCAGAACGGCGGTGCCTTTGGCGATGTAGTTGGCTCGCTTTCGTGTAGACTTCACCGGCTCAAGTTGGAAGATGGATTGCGTGAGCGCGATGGACCAGAAGAAGGTCAAGGCCGCCTCGACATTGTAGCTGTAAAACTCTGAAGAGTGTCAGGCGTGCGCATTTCATGCTCTAGGGACGACTTACGAATGTAGAAGAGTACGAGGTCAAGACCGGTCGACTGTCCGGCGATGGCGAGTTCAGGATTGCCAACGTTGGCGATAGAGTGCCGAAACTGCGCATTCTTGATATCCCTCCAGTACACAATCGTGTGAAGCTGTTGGGCCACGGAGGCGGCTGTGGAGAGGCCCGTGAAATATGACACAAGTGCGACATCTGCATTGATGATAGTCAGCTGCCTGCTGGCCACGACAAAGGGATAACCTACAGCTGATAGCCTCACGATGGACATAGGTCAGCCATCCCATGGTACAACTGCATGCGATGCAGAACAAGGAGTAGACGAGAACTCCTATAGCTGTGCCCAGCTCCTCTTGAGGCAGCTGGATGGCCATGTCACCCCCTTGGAAGCTGGCCAAATAGGCCAGACATGAATACGGAGTCGTAGACCGCGGCAGGGAACAAGGTGACGGGGGAGGAGAAGAAAGAAGAAATTAAGAACTGGGGAGCAAGCAACGGCAAGGCCATGTTTATCATGCAGCCTTAGATCGCAGCGATCGCCCCCCCTGCGATCTGCGCATGGATAGACTCCCCCGGGCACAACTTTTGAGAATCTGCTACCAAGATTTCAGGAACATGGAAGGGTGATCACCCATGTCCGGCGTTCGCAACTGCATAAAGTGCGATCAGGACACACACGCACACACACAAGCGGGCAGAATGATGAGATGGATACTCCGGAGCAGGACAAGGGGGGTTTGGGCCGTATTACGAGCCCTCCCTCACGAAGCCCGCGCCCCCCAAGCTTGCCCTCGATGGTCCAAAAATGTCTTGGCTAGGGATCCTTCAAAGAAGCCGGCGGGGCGCGCGCTCGGGATGGCAATGAAGAGTTTTACCATGATGCCGGTGGGTAATGAGAGTTGAAACACGACAGTGTGAAAAGATGATCATCGCAGCAATATTGCACCAAGGGCGAATAGCTTCGGAGGCTGGCATCGAATGTGTCATGGCGAGACAAAATGACATTGACGTATTCTAGCCGGTTCCAAGTGCGGTTCTGGCGGGCATCTGCCGACCGCAGAGTCTCACACGCCGACCCGAAATGAAAACGTTGGACGCCACAATCCGTCTAATATGAAGCCGTCGACTAGCTGCGTGGGTTGGGCCGAGGAGGAGCAGCAATGCGCAAGCGTCGTCGCAACTGTCATTAGAGAGAAGACCGGATAGGCTGATGACAGTGGAACTAGGCCATGGCGAGTATAGGCGGCATGGCAACGTACGAGTTCGACCGAACTATCCGCAGCAAGGTTGCGACCAACCAGACCCTTCGGTTGGGTTTGAGGCATCGATGGCTCGAAACATGTATGGCGAGTGGAGGTTGGCTTTGCAGGCGCAGATTCGCTGATGACTGTAGGCATGTGGGTGCGTGGACACCGCGGAGGGCTTCCCGGACCAGCCTCAACCCGGCAGAGCTGACCGGACCGATGGGGCGGCGGGTTGCAGACGGGATCCTCCCCATCACGGATGGCAATGGCAAATCAAGCTTCTATTGTCGTCGAGTGCTGGTCGTCGAGTCAGCGGCGACGGTGGCATCCTGTCTGTCAAGCGAGAAAATAGGTTGCGGCTGAAGGGAGAGTTTCCCAGTCCTCTGACCCATTATCACGTCAATCATATCACCCAAGCTCATTTCCAAAGGGACCACGCCGTGTACCGACTGCTTGGTGCTTGGAGCTCGCCCAAAAGACAGGGACAGCCCAGGGGGAGATGAGGCTAGCGGTTTTGTGTTGAAGCTGGCCTCCTGAGTCAGAAAACAAGTGCCAGTGAACGATGCCCGAAGGAGCCCGAGCAACAGCAATGGCTTCGGGACCTGAGTCCGAATCTGGCAAGTTGGTAATCGCTAGCGCAGACTAATGAGCAGGTTTGGGTCGGCGGTGGCGCAGATTGTTGAGATGAAGGTCGGCGGCACATGCGGTGGTGACATTGACAGTCTGCCAGATGGAAGCTGAGCAACGGTCGGACCACCACGTGCTGATTGAGTTGGAGGCGGCGATCGATTCGCGTCGTCGTCCACGAGCGCCGTTCTGTGTCTGCCTTGGCTACGGCAGTAGTAATAGTGCTAGCCAACTTCTTGTTCCTTGGCTCTGGGACCCCCAATAACCGCCAGGCCGGTATCTTTCGGCCAGCTTGAACCGGAGGGTATGATCGCCAGTCACAGCAAAGTGCCGTGTCGTCGGCATGTGGCACTTGCGACTCCCAAGCAGCAAGGTTTCTGCTGTTGAATTCAGCCGATCATGAAGGTTCAGGGGTGGAAGCCTGAAGGATCTAGACCTCCACTCTGGAGGAGATCCCGACCCATTGCTGCGGAGAGCCCCTGCCCGCACCAGCCAAAGAAGAAATCTCCGGCGATGCTGCCTTCCAGGTTCAGGCTCAGAGCCCGCTGATCCAGCCACCGTGTGGTGTGGCTCGGTAGGGGCCCCACGCCGCCTTCCTCAGCGAGCGGTGCACCGTGTTGGTCGATTGGTGGGGCCGTCGAGCTCCAGCCAGAGCTTCTTTTCAATTAATTTCTGCCCGTAGGAAACGCGTGTGAGTCGCGTCTTGGAAAATTCCCCTCCCCCACGACATCACTCCCGCACGTGCGATAGCTTCTTCAGCAACTTTACCGCATTAGTCTTTTATCTAATTCTCGTCTCGCATACTATTACATCTTTTTACGATACCAGGGCCGGCGCGCGGCAGTCCAGTTTCTCATTCCGCCAACATGCCCATCGTCCCAGAACACTACAACCACGGCAACCAAGCCTTTCTCCAGGCGTTTCTCGCCCGCGGCACCCTTACGTTTGAAGAGGCCCAGTCCATTCTGGCAGCCATTTCCACGATCGAGGCCGAAGATGGCGAGGAAGTCACGCCCGATCAGGTCACTAGAGACGACTTTGACTCGTACGTGAGCGCGGCCGCCGAAGCCGTGTCCTTCTTCGACTACGAAATCCGCAGCACCGTCCACCAGGTGTCTAAGAAGCGCATATACGCCCTCGTCAACACCGCCTCCGACCCGATGACACAGCTGGCGACGACCTACAATGCCGAGCAAATAGCTTTCATTAAGAGACTGCTGGACGCCCTGTTCGAGACCTATAACTCGCAACGCATGGAGGTCATGGCTATCACTGACATGCAAGCGATCAAGCTCGCTCGGCCCCCGCGCCAAAACAACAACGAAGAGAATGGCGAGGCGGCGACGCAGTCTGCTGCAGACAAGGGATTGAAACACAGCGAGGTGGAGGACATGCTCGTGAATCTGGTGAACCAGGGATGGCTGGAGAAGTCCAGAGACGGTTTCTACACTCTCAGCCCGCGGGCGCTGCTCGAGCTTAGGGGAATGCTCGTCGACTCATACAACGACCCAGACGCGGCGGCCGAGGAGTGGCAGCGCATCAAGTTCTGCGAGGCGTGTAAGGAGGTCGTCACCATTGGGCAGAGATGCACGAATGTCGACTGCAACGCGCGGCTGCACGATACCTGCGAGGGGGCATACTGGCGCACACAGCGCAGTCAGAAATGTCCTCGATGCTCGAAGGACTGGGACGGCGGGCTGTTCGTCGGCGAGAAGGCCGTAACCAGCACAGAGGCCTACCAGAGGGGCCGCCGGAGAAGTGGTCCCAGTGGGCGCAAGAGTAATGCGGCAGACGAGTCCATGCAGGAAAACGGGGCAGGCGGAGAGAGCGAGGAGGACTCGGAGTGAAGACGACATTTTGGATGCGACGAGCAGTTTCTACGATAGATACCCCGTGTTGGTGGCTTAGTACTGCCAACTATTGCCCTGCCATAGCTCCAAGACAGCTGTCAATCAATGCATTGGCCGAGCCACGCGCTGCATGAGTTTGCGCTGGCAATTTTTACAAAGACGAACGGTTCTCGGCAGGGTGAGGCGACATGCGCCGGTGAGGGGCCTCCGATGGAAGTGTGGCGGTGCAAGACCCTTAGTGGAGTCGCGGCCCCAACAGCCGGGCTCGCTTACATGCGGTTGTTTGACGTTGCGCTGGCGGGCTCCAATCGATGGGCATGAATGATCATCAGATGGCATTGTGGTGACATCACGTGTGGCGGTGCAAGCTACCCCAATGGCTACCACCCAACCAAGGTCTTCCTGTGGCTAAACACACCTGAGCTCTCACAAGGCATGATACACGCCCGAGAATCAGAACCAGGGCTCAGACAGCTTAGCACCACATGTGATTCAGAACAAAAAGGGACGCTTGGCCATCGAATAAAACCACCGATCCGACCGCCAACTTTCGACGACTCGCCTTCGACGAGCGCCATCCTTTCAACCCCTCACCTTTGCCAGTCCACAACACATACCAGCACACACTCGCCCACGATGCTGGAATACTTTGGCTACAAGCAGTACAAAAAGTACAAGACGGAGAAGGACGCAAAGGAGGCCGCAGGAGAGCACGACAGCGGCAGCAACGTCGGAACCCCGCAGCAGCAACACCCAGCATCACGACCGTCGCCGTCGCGGCGCCAGACCAGCTCCCGCTCGCTGTCGCCCGCAGGCAGCGCCGCCACCGACCGCACCCATGGCGGGCCAGCACCGGTGCTAGACCGCAGAGACGAAGACTTTTTTAGACGCATCCTGTCCGACCCGGACGCTGCGGACTCTGACGACGAGAGCCTCCGCCCGCCTCTGCCTCCGCGCACCAAGACACCAGAGTACATGTGGGAGTCGGACGAATCGCGGCGGACCGCCCCGAGTCAGCAGGCGGCAGCCCCCAAGAAGGCGGCCACGGTGGCGGTCAACCCCAAGGCCGAGGGCAAGAAGCCCAGCAAGATCGCCTTTCTGTTCTCCAAGGTCAAGGGCGACGACAAGGACAAGCAGCTCGCGCCGGTGAAGCCCACAACCGTGCCGGCCGACGAGGAAGCGAGGGAGAAGGACGACCTGTCGCGCGTGCTCGACGACCTCAACCTCTCCGCCAAGAACAACAAGGCCATCCCGCTGTCGGCAGAGTCCTCGGAGCTGGTCCGGCAGTTCACTCTCGCCCTCAAGGACCTGGTCAACGGCGTGCCGACAGCCGTCGACGACATCAAGAGGCTCGTGGAGGACAAGGACGGCACGATCAAGAAGTCGTTCGACAAGCTGCCCAACGGGATGAAGAAGCTCGTCACGAACCTCCCCGACAAGTTCACCGCCAGCCTGGGCCCGGAGGTCCTGGCGGCCGCGGCGAAGAGCCAGGGCATGCAGGCCGCCGAGGTCACCGCGGAGGAGGGTGTCAAGGGCGCCGCGAAGAAGATGTTCACGCCGGCCACCCTCTCGGACTTGGTCACCAAGCCGGGTGCCGTGGTGGGCATGCTCAAGGCCATCGTCAACGCGCTGAAGCTGAGATGGCCAGCCTTTATTGGCACCAATGCGATCATCTCGGTCGCGCTATTCCGTAAGTGCACCAGTCTGATTCATGGACGGCCCAGATACTAACACGCCACAGTCCTTCTCTTCGTCCTGTGGTACTGCCACAAGCGCGGCCGCGAGGAGCGCATTAAGCGCGAGAATGCGCCCGAGATCATCGACGGCAGCGGCCGTATCGAGGAGCTGCCCGATGACCCAGCCCTGCCGGGTCCCTCCCGCTCCCGCACAGAACCTCTCAGGTCTGACAGGCCGCGGAGCGAGAGGAGCGAACGCAGCCGACGCAGCGGCAGAGACTCAGGAAGAACGACGCCCGAGTCTGTACGGAGGAGGGCGACGCGGAAGTGATTCCGCTAATGAATGAATGATGACTAGATTTTTTCTTTTCTCACGACCGCAACGTTTGGTTTGCAAAGAGCATGAACGGACGCATGACGAGTTAGCAAGCTGAGATATCACGAGGGCTATGAACGACTGTGGAATGAATTCGTTTTTCGTATTGGGGCCCCCCGGGCTTTAGGAAAATAGAGGCTATTATGTAGAAAGGACTGTCCCAAGCCTCACGCCCATTTTATAGTATAATGTACAACTGTGGATTACAACGCAAGAAGCAAAGTCGGGTATCTCGTAAGCAAGCGAGAGTCTCATCGCTGAGACTTCTTCCATCGCACAGATGATGCCTAATCATCCTGCACCAATTCCTTGATCTCGTCGCGACCCGTGGGCGCGATACCCGTCTGACCGGCCTTCTCGCCCTGGCCGAAGCGGTCAATAATCTTGCAGCCGTCTTGGACCCAAAAGTCGACCTCGTCGATGATGTCGTAGACGATGTCCTCCACGATTTGTTCCGTGTACCGCTCCGACACCGGTCGGATCTCGTCCAGGGCCGGATAGTCGAACTTCTTTGCCTCATCCTGCCCACCGTTGACCATGTCCACGTCGTCGGCCGGACCCGCGATGCCTGGAGGAGGGTACCAAAAGTCGGGGCCAAAGTTGACCTCGGCGGCACCACCCCTGAAAACGCTGACGGCGGGGTAGTAACCAAGCATGCCGTTGTCCAGGCCATATCGCGCGCCAATGTTAGACTGCGGCTTTGATGCTGGCGGGAGGAACGCGAGGAGGTCGTGGAAGGCCGTGCCCATGTCGATGCCGTTCTTGTACACCTTGATGTGAGAGTGTGGTAGCGTTCGTAGGGCGGGAACGGGGTGGTTGGGGTGAGGCGCCTCGACAGAGTTGGCGGGTCCGGAAGACACAGGCGAGGGGTTCATGAGGTCCTCGAGCTCCTTGGTGGTGTGGTAGTCGATCTTCTCAAAGTAGATGTGCGACTTGAAGCGGATCGGGATGCGGTCGCGGACAATGTTCGGAGCCTCGAAGGCCAAGCTATCGTCGTCGATGCCCGTGTCCACGGCCGGGTTGTATTGACCGGCCAGTACCTTTCTCTGCAATCGTTCCGAGGGCAGCTGGATCTCCAGGCCAATGACGTCTCCCTCTCGAATACCCTCGCCCTCGGGAAAGAAGGCCTTTGGCCGCGACATGTACACCTTCTCGCCGCCGACGTCTCTGAAACCGTAGCTGTAGGCATCAAACCCAACGGGGGCGTCCACTGACGCTTCTCGTCTCGCGAATCCCATGCGCACGTGGCCATGCGACTCGGGCTTGTCCTCGCCGTCCTTTTTGTCGACCATGCCCCTCGTGATCTTGACCTCCCAGTAGAAGCGACCCTCTCGGATCGCCACATTCGCGCGCGTCATGCGGAAGCCCTTCTCGGTCGTTATATGGCGACCAGACTGGTCAAAGAAGAGGTGTGTCGCGCTGTCCTCGAACGCCAGATGGGGACCGAAGGGCTCCGCTTCCGTGCCGCGGTAGTAGAGCGACGATGGGAACTCGGGGTCCGCGATGCAGTGGGTGTAGTGATAGCTTTTCTTGTTATGTACACTATCGAGTCGTTAGTCGTGCCTGGCGCAGCAAGGCGAGGAGGAGGCCTACTGCTCTGAAGTCTCGTAGAACTGGACCTGGCCTCCGTCAAGGGCAGGAACGTCGTGGTGGTGGATGAAGATTGGGGGCTTCGCAGGCTCGAAATCGGAGGGTTTGGGCGGCGCCAGCTTGTAGCGCATGGGACTGTAGTCACTCTGCTTCGGCTCCTTATGCTTCGGGTCAGGAGTGCCACGGTTGCTGTCGCTGACACCCTTGGACTCGCGCTTCTTCAGCGTCTCCTTCTTGCTGCGCTTCGCCGGCATCTCGTCTGCGCCTGGTGGTTTCGGTGTAGATCTGACGTCTGGGTTGAGAGGAGAGGGAACCGAGGGTGTAAAGTCTTCTTCGAGAGCAGGTCGCTTCAATGGAACGGCGGTCGAGGAGGGCAGGGAGCCGCCTGGAGTAGGCTCCCTTGGAGGGGGAGGGGTGCCTGCATCGGAGGCCATTGGAACGGCTGCCTTGGTGCAGAGGTGTGTTTCGAAATTACTATATCAGTGAGTGCGCGCTTCGAGTCGGGGTGATGCTGTGGTGGGGATAAGGTGCGTGAATGAAGCTATGAGACGATGTCGCGCGGCGCGTTTTGAGGTTTGAAATTTTGGAGCTGGAAGAAAGCTGTGAGACACCCCGCGTAAAGCTCCCTTCTGTCGTCACAGGGGCGTTAGCGGGCCGGGGACAGGGGTTCAGGGACACTAAGGCCCAGCGGGGCAGGTACCTGCAGGCTGCATTTCAGCTGTCTACACGATAAGCTGGTTTCATATGCATCTCATTGTCTCTTTGCAGCCTTCACATCAAGCCACTCGGAATAATCAGGTGGTCGTTATAAAGTGGACAGTGTCTTTGCTCTATCGGCTCTATGGGACTCCACGCCCTTCTACTATGCCATCAAACGCCGTCCCATGGTTAAATCCGTAAGTGTACAGATGGAAGTGTTTGTACATGTTTCCCTCATCCAACTCCCCGCCAAACCTCCACCAGTAGGCCGACCGTCGGCTCTTCAAATGCTGCTTTCCCTCTCTGCAGCGCTGTCCCAAACCTCTAGTTGCTTAAGAATGCGCTGGTACAAGAACAGCATGGTGCCGCTCTGGATAAAGGTCCAAACGCCACGGGGACCAACACCCCTGAACCACCCGCTGATGCCTTCCGTCTGGTATATGACCTTGAGGCCGGTGATGACGGAGGACGTCTGCAGGTTCACCGCACCGGGTCGCGGTGTGTGCGTTGACGGCGACGACGTTGAGATGTTGCGCGTCTGGGACTTGGCCGCAGAGATGTGCGCCGCGCCCTTAGCTGCCGGTTTGTTCTCCTTGGGCAACAGGTCGGGATGCACTTGTGTCTGCAGCCGTGTCTTGACGACGTCGAGAGGACACGTCATTACGCCGGCCAAACTGCCTGCCAGACCGCCAGTCAAAAGCTCCAGAGGCACGCCAATGTCTCTGCTCTGCTTGTACTGGCGGGCCCAGGCGTGGAACTGCTCCCAAAACATGAACTGCAGCGCTGAAAAGGGGAGATCGCGGTAGAGCGTCGCCTGGTAGCCGTAAAAGAGCGCAGCCGGACCCTCGTGGCGGACGATGGTTCTTGCGGCGTCAATCGTGCCCTTATAGTTGTACCCTGACTTGAAATAAGGGTTGTTGTAGCGTCCCTGCAGCTGCATGCGAGTCTTTAACACTTCGGACGGAACGTAAACGATGGAACCGGCAAAGTCTCCCAGCAAGCCTGGATAGTTTAATTAGTATCTAGTCCTCCTTCCCCACGCACGTATCAACTCACCTGCTGTAAGATACGCCAGATGGTGCTGCAGGCCATGATCGATGAGGAACCGCTTGCTCCATTCGTATGTGCCAAAGAACAGCATGGTGCCCGGGAACGATCCACTCAATGCCGGCACCCACCCGCCGTAAAGACCTCTCCTGATGCCCTCTTGCCTCCATATCGTGTAGTATGACGACCCCAGTGATGTGTATTTTGGCGGGATGTGCGGATCGCCCTGCTGGCGCGTCTTGACTGTGTCCAGGGAGTGCATGAGCATATCTCCAGTCGAGCCCCCGAGACCTCCGGCAATCATGGCGTGGAAGTAGGGCGGGCGGCCCTCCTCTTCGAGATCTCCATGTCCCTGCCCCATATCCTGAACGAGTGGTTGTCCGCTGATTTTGATATCCGGCAAGAGTCCTCCCGTCTGTCCGGCATGACTATCCCCCGCAATTGAAGCCGCCGCCGCCGGGTTGGAAACCGCAAGCTCCCCCTGAATCGTTCGCGCGCTGTTATCGGCCGGAGCAAAGTAGCTGACGAGGCGGTCAGCAACAGACATTTGCGGGTGCGTCTGTCGCAGTCGGCACCAGGTTCTCTCCGGTCAGTGGTCGTCGAGGGAGATCGGTGTCGGTGACGCCTGCGGTTTTTGTTCGAGGTCTCGTGGGGGCAGTCAGTGGTGCCCAGGGAGGGAACAACGACGCCGTGTCGAGGCTGAGAGGGGGTAATAAGAGCTAGGGCGAGGAGAGAGGCCTCCCCGTCGATTCTGGTCGTCGCGTGGGTTTATTGCGCGGGCAAAAAACTTGGCGGCGGCGAGGTCCAACGCATCAGCGATAATGAAATTTCGCAGGGTTCCCGGGCTTCTGGAATTTTTGTTGGATGAGCACGGGCCACATGCCGCAGCAGCGGTCCACCTGTCCCGCTGCGTCACCGCGAGTTCGAGTCACCTAAGCATTTCAGCTGCGGCCGGCGCTAGACCGATAGGCGTCGGCCTTTTGGCGTCGGGCGCTGCCGAGACCTCCGAGGGGGACGCGGATCAGCACCCGCCGGGCCTGCGTCAGAGGTCATGGGAGAAACTCGGTTGCATTTCCGATGAGTCAAGTAGGGATACAGTTGCTGTTATACACATTGAGAGAAGCCTTGCTCTCGGTACATTTAGATCACTCCCGCGGCTTCATCTTAAAGTCCTCCCACTTCGTCCTTCCAAACTTGCGGAAGGGGTACAAGAACCACACAATCTTTCCCGTCACCAATTCCATGGATATGGGGCCGTAAGTGTTACTGTCCAGTGTCTGGTCCGCAGGGCCGTCGCCCTCGACCCAGATGTGGCCCTGCGGCACCCTGACCATCGGCTGGGGGTGCGGTGGCCGTGTCTTGACATGGTCTCCCTCCAGGGCGATGATTCTCTTCACGGCGACGGTCTCCGGGTGAAATGGGCTCCTGTTGCGCTGCAGTGTCAGCTTGTCGTGACCCAGTGCGTCGGCAATGCGCAAGCAACGCACCTGAAGGTGACAATCATGCCCCTCCTGAGGTCCTCGTTCGCGTGCCACCTCCAGTTCAGTACCAGGTCGCGGATGATGGTGCTGTTGCGGTCCTCGTTAAAGTACGGGTACATGGAGGCGCCGCTGATCTTTGTCACAGTCGCGACATGGTCGTTGAACCAGATGACGACGGGGATCCAGGTCGCAATGCCGACCAGGCGGATTGCCGTGTCACCGAGGAAGCTCCCTCGTGCGCGCGCCCATAGCGATCGGAAGCTCATGGGCGCGACGGTGGCTGCGTGTGGTGAGGTGATTGCTGAAGCTTTCGCAGTTGTATTCTATTTGGCGAAACTTTCGATTGGAGGTCATCCCACCTTCTTATCTTATCTTATCAACTGCGCTTATCATCTCATGTACCTACCTTATTCTGCGCTCTTCCTCCTGCATTAGTCCTTCATCCTTACAACATCCGACAGTCTCTCGACTTGAAAGTTGTTACAAATGTGCGTTGAGCAACTCAGTAGACGTGCCATGGCCAGCTGTGCATGAAGTCATGCTCGTCGACTCTCCCCACATGTTTCACTTCGCTGCAAGATGGAGGAAGTCCTCGCATCCGTCTTCTGAAGAGCTGCCAACTCCGAGATGGGTCCAAAGCACAACAGCACCAGACTCGAACGTCAAACAGCAAGTGGATGGACAGAATATTATGGTTACATGTCCTTGAGCCTTAGTACGGAGCGGTTTCTCTTAACCGCGAACTACTACCCAACAATCTGCGTCTGGACACGCCTCCGTCACACCAACTAGAGAAAGAAGCCAACAACTTTTATCAACACATCCAAATAGAGCGACGCTCTGAGCACGCCTAGGTGCCGTGCTGCACAGTCGTCTCGCGGCGCACCATGATGCCATTCGATCCCTCACCGCACCCACCCGGTGCGCTGCTCTCAGCCGACACAACAACGGTCCTGTCACCCCTGCGCGGGCCCGTCATCTCACCCAGCGTGTCCACGCTGCTGTTGCTGTTGTCGTCGACCTGCCTCGAAGTCTCGCGAGCATGGCCACCAAGGGCAGCCTTGACATTCTTCTGGTATCCCAACCACAGTTTCGTCTCGTCGTCCTCGACGCCGTCCCTCTTGCCGTCCGTCGAGCTGAGCTCGTACGACTCATCCTGGCGTCGTCGACGCTCCATGTTCTGTGCCACGACAGTATTGAGGCGCGACTTGGAGGACTTGTTCAGCGATGATCCCCCGCGCTTGCTGCTGCCGACTCGGGAGGTGATGAAGGACGGGAGGTACTGCATGAAGAAGGGCTTCAGCGCCGGCACAGAGGCACAGATCATGCCCGCATTGAGCTCCAAGTAGCCCCAGATGAACGCCTCGACGGCTTCCCAGGTATAGTCCGGGCTTGCAAGCAGCTTAGGGAGATGGACGGTCCGCTTGGTGGCCACGCCACAGACACTGTTGAGACTTGTCAGCAAACATCTCGGGAGTGGCGTTTCAGGGGACGGAGCACTGACAAGACACCTGTTCCGAAGAGGAGGATGATGGAGAACTTTTGTCTCCTGGCCATCTGCAGCGGCACAACCACGGGGATGGGAAGCAGCAGGATCAAGACGTCCATGGCGATGTTGGCGATGCTGAAGGACAGGTAGATGGAGAACTTGTCCACGCAAGTCTTTTCCACAATGTTGAGGTCCCAGCCGGCTCTGATCGGTGTGCAGCCAAATATGTTGATGAGGACGTAGACGATGGAGTAGCAGACGACCAGTCCGATGAGGAAGAAGACGCCCCGGCGGAACCATACCTGCGGCGACAGACGCAGGTACAAGAAGAGAATGGACAGCTTGGAGAAGCTGATGCTGAGGGCATACACGATTGTTGCGGCAATTGTCCACTACACTCAAAGGTTAGCACACGGTTACCCTGACACTATCAATGGAGTCTGCGCTTACCCCAGTGTTGTGGACGTTGTACACGTCCCAGAGGATATCCCACATGTGATGTGCTAATCCGACTTCGACCTCTGGGAATGGTTAGCGTGGCCTGCGTCCGAGGGCTTCGGAGACTTACGCTGGAAGAGCACGACAATCGTCGATATGGCGAAGAGCAACGATATGACAATGAGGTCTGCCGGTGAGGTTAGACACCAGCAGAGCGTCTTTGAGGAAACAGCTTACAGTCATCGGTATTCAACGGCGTTCTCGTGACGTAGAATCTCGTAAAGATGCGCAGCCCAACCGTTGTCCCCGCGATGAACGTCGTCACAAACGCCCACGAGTATAGCTTCACCTTCAGGGTCGGCGGGTTCACCTCCGTCCGCACCTCGCCCGGCGGTACTGGCGCAGTCCATGGCAAATCCATTGCGTGATTATTTCTTCAAGTGGTGCAATACAAAGCGATCAGGACAAGCTGCAGGCTGTGTTCCCTTTGGAGGATTTGGGGGCCATGACTATCAACACCACAGTGGATATCACGGAGTGTTTAAAGCGAGGCAAGAAAATAGGAGGCCAAGCCATGATTGCTTCTCTAGTCTTCCGATGAGGCGTTCGAGACCGTTATCTGCCAATCTTTCGCCCCCTCTTCCTAGACTGTTCAGAGTATACTGGAAAGGTTTTGCCATTGTTTGCGAGAACAATGCGAAAGCCAGAGACTCGGGAACTCCCACCGAATGATCAGCAAGCCACCCATTTCGAGTCACCGCATCGGGGACCTCGCATGCTCTGCGATGGAGGGCGAGACAGCCTGCCTGCCGCATCTTGAATCTCGGTAGTGTTTGCGAGTGTTATGTAGTTTTCGCACTGGCTGGCGTTCTGGGGATTGCATGTGGGAGCAAGCAACTAGAGCGTCTAGTAGATTATCCTACGACGGACATCGAGCCAGATTTTGATGTACCACGGGAGTTGCACCGATTAGGTGGTCATGTTTGCTTCGATGTACGGTGTGATGAGACCAGCAGGATGTGTGGTTGGCTGATGGAGGACGTCCAGACGTTGGCTTATGCCGTTGGAGCCGGGGGGTTCATGCACATCGAGCCGGGGTTGTGCTCCGCCGCCAGGAGGAGAGAGGCCACTTCTTTTCTCCCATGGACCATCGGGCAACACAAGACGGGGTCGGTTTGAATTTGAGTATCGCAAGCAAGGCGCGGGGTTCGCTGCCCGGCTGTTCTCCTGACGGTCTTGACTCAGCGACGACATCGAGAAGATGTGAGAGCCAAGCACATAGGCGCGGTCGGTTAAGCAGTACCAGTTGCTTCGGCCGTCTGTACAGGTGCAATGTAACACCGTTGACTATTTAGGAAAATGCTTCTCGAGAAGCAGGCTTATGATTGGCGGCGTCCAGCGTTCTCGCGCTTCGCAAGTCCTCTGCGAACGCTTCATGTCTCGCAACCTCCTCTTCTTCGACAGACCGGTAGACAGAACAGTGGATAGAGTGCTTGCACCAGTTCCATCTGGGTCCCCATGCATATGCCGTCGACCCCAGGATCATGAGTCTCTTGGCTAGCAAAGACCAGGGTCGAGTTGCAAACATCCACCACGAAATCGGAATGTGGTTCATGGGTCGCGACAACCGTCCGGGGAGGCGGGATCGTCCAGACCACGTACCATTTCGAGGATTTAATGATTCCCATCTCGTCTTCACGCTCTCTCCGTTTTCCTCCCTCGTTCCCAGGCCAGATCATTCCCCCTTTCTCCTTACACCCTTGATTCTTGCCGCTGCCAGGTCCCCGAGATCTCTTCGGCTGAGTATCACATTGTTCTGCCGAGCATCCCTCTAATCACATATTATTTCTCTCTCCCCGCGGCGCCCCCCTTTTCCCCTCCCTCTCCAGACGAAGAGAACACAAGATGGCGGACCCTTACCCCTTCAAGGACATGGTCATCGCGGTGACGGGCGCCAGCCGCGGCACGGGTCTTGCCCTGGCTCGTTACCTCCTCATCCGCGGCGCCAAGGTGTCCATGTGCGCCACCACAGCGGAGAACTTCGCCAAGGCGCTGGAAGGCATCGAGAAGGACATTCCCGATGTCAAGGGCAGAGTCATGACCAAGGTCGTCGACATCCAGGAGCATGACATGGTCAAGGCCTGGATCGATGAGACTGTCGAAAAGTTTGGCAAGCTGGACGGGGCGGCAAATGTTGCTGGTCTGTATCCCCTTCTCTCGAAGCGTCGGAAAGCAACTGACATGAATAGCCCGTGAGCAACGAGAGATCTTTCCCATTACGGACCTACCCAAGGAGTACTTCAAGGAAATCCTCGTAACCAATGTCTTTGGCACCTTCCTTTGCATGAAGGAGGAGATGCGCAACATGAAGGACGGTGGCAGCATCGTCAACGTCGGCAGCATCACGAGCAACTACGCCTCGGCGGGCGTCTCAGCCTACGTCTCCAGCAAGCATGCTCTCCTTGGCATAACCAAGGTGGCCGCATTCGAGGGTGCGAATAGAGGCATCCGCGTGAACGCTCTGTGTCCGTAAGTGCTCCCTTTTGGATCCACTCGAGACGGGACAATTCACTGAACCACTCACTCAGGGGCTGCATCGACACGGACATGATGCACAAGCCGTTCAACAGCCCCAGCGGACAGTTCTGGCTCACCGCGGAGGACCAGCCGTGCCTGACTAGACGTCTGGCCGAACCCTGGGAGGTTGCGGCGTCGATCGCATTCCTGCTCGGGCCGGAGGGGAGGTTCGTCAACAAAGCCACATGGTACGTTGATGGCGGGTGGATCGAAGGAAGCTTCAGCAAGCAGTAGAGAACTCTCCGTTAGATTCCGTCATAGACCGAGCATATAGATCATTTTGTTGTCATCGTCCCCATGTAGATGTTCAAACGCCTATGATGTATTGTCAACGCCGGGGTCTATTGGAATAATGCGTGCTATCTTTGGGGAATCCCTCATCGTTGCTCATGCCATCATCATACCCAACAACTCGACCCGGATCCTTCCCAACGCCTTCATGTTGGGCAGCCTCGCGCCGACTTGCGATGCCCGATAACAATGGCCTGCTAACGTAGGCAGCACTTTTTCCGCACTCATGACACCCTGGGGAACACGTGAAGTAATGGGTACTTTCTTTTGGTCGTCTCATTAGAATCACTCCGGATTCCCAGCTGCCAGTACGATCATTCTACCAGCCGCCCCCTTTTTTGTTTGCCTTGACCGTTGAAATCTAAACCTCCGGGTTGTCGTCGCTCTCCGAGACACTCTCGTCACCGCTGACCTCGGCGTTCTCACGCTCTCTCTTCTCCATAAGGGCCTGCAGCTCGGCGTCGTCGCTCTCGGTGACGGCCTTGGGCTCCATCTTGACGACCAGCGAGCCGCCGGCCGCCTCGATGCTGTTCCGGATGTCGACAATGGCCTCCTCGAGGCGAGTGATACCGAGGTTCTTGTCCAAGCATGTGCTGGTGAGGACGTACAGGGGCGGGGACACGAGCCTGACCTTGACCTGGGTCTGCTCGGTGTTGCGGGACTCGGCGACGCGCAGGGCGGTCTTGACGGCGTCGATACCCTCGTAACCGAAGCATGTGACCTCGACGTCGGCACGGACCTTGGTGGGTTGAGGGGTGAGACGCTTCGCGATATATGACTTGAGTTCCTCGGCGACGGGCTCGCTGGGGAAGGTGGCGTCGTTCCAGACCTCGGTGTTGCTGCGTCCGGCTTGGTCAGTGATTGTGCCAGCTGAACGGACTCTTTGAATCCAACTTACGTGATGGACAGCTTGAAGGCGTCGATCGCGTGACCGTACTTCTTGTTCAGGGGCCATGCGATAGTCTCATAAAGCTGCTCGATGGGGGTGAGGGTCTTCTCGGCAACGTGGCGCATGATGGAGTGGACCATCTTGCCCTTGTTGTACCGCTCCTCGCACTTGATGATATCCTCCGGCGACACACGGCGCTTGCTGAGATCGATGTATCCCTTCTCCTTGTCGACACGGAGGACAACAACGACCTCGTTGCGGCCGACGCGAATGAGCTTCTGGATACTTCTGATACGACGTCTCGAGAGTTCGGAAAGCAGAATCATGCCGTCAATGTTGTCGTACTCGAGGAGCTTGACGTAGGCACCCATCTCGGCAATCTATCCTCCTGTCAGACGGCGTTGCTCCATAATCTCCTCCAAACGGGGCCGGCGGCTGTATCGGGTCCGATGCGGTGGTGCGTTGGGCAGCGGGGCGACTAACCTGCTTGACGTTGACCATGACGAACTCGTCGATCTCGGGATACTTGTTTTCGAAGTATCGAAAGTGGCTGTAGTTCGGTTCCGCCATCTTGACTGCTGGTTCTCGAAGTCGTCGAGGGCGTTGTGTTTGGTGGTGGTGGTGGTCGACGGGGGAGTCGAAGGTATCGAGAGAGGTGTGGAGGAGGGGCGGGGTGCGATGGGAGGCGCGCGGGCTTTTTACACGTTCCTACAAGTTGCTCTGGGAGACAGCTTGTTTCCTCTGTGCTCGGCGGGATATTCTGCCTTGTCGTCGTGGGTTCGAGTCGCTGACGCGGGGTACGGATCGATTGCTCGGGGCGGCGTCAAAAAAGTTGGCCTCTTTGGGTGAGCAGAGTTGCGTTGGTGATTGGGCGATCGAGTCACAATTTTGCTACTTTGCGGTTCACAAAATCGCAGAAATCCGACAATGGTGGGGGTGCGGCCCGCGGGCGGTGGTCCCCGGCAAAAATGGCGCTGATTCGCCCGATAAGCTGCTTCTTCGCTTATCGACACGTGAGAGCCCCTCCAACCAGTTTGCCAATGTAAACATCACACCGAAGCTGCCATCCTAGCTCCGTAGAGGTCAAGAGCTGCAGCTTGGTCCGATTTACAACGTCAACATGGCACCTGGTGAGTGCTGAGGGCGTATTTGACTCTGCGAGACGACTCAAAGGACTGACAGCCAGGCAGCATCCCAATTCGAGCTGGCGCAGCCGCCCAGCGATGCCATCTCCGCGCTCGCGTATGCGCCCGACTCACCGACCAGGCTACTCGTCTCGTGCTGGGACAAGAAAATCTACCTCTACGACACACACAGTGGCAGCGAAGATGCGCAGGGCACTCTGATTACGACCGTCGAGTTCCGCGCCCCCGTCCTTGATGTATGCTTCGGCGCGACAGACAACGAGGCCTACACGGCGTGCTTGGACCACTGTGTTTACCGGTACGACGGCAATTGAACGTTCCTGGAGGAGCGCCCTGCTGACGGATCATGACAGGGTCGATCTGGAGTCAGGAGAGAAATCCGTAGTCTCTCAACATACCGCGCCCGCGCGATGCGTCGCGTACAGCCAAGAGCACTGTACGTCACAGCCCCTTTCCGTCACACAGCCCAGCTAACACGCCCTGCAGCCCTGCTCATCTCCGCGTCCTGGGACCAGACCCTGCAAATCCACAACGCAAAGTCCCCCTCCGACCCGAACATTACTGTCCACTTGCCGGGCAAGCCTCACGCCCTGGCCGTCAGCCCGTCCAAGGTTGTCGTCGCCATGACGGCCCGTCTGGTCAACATCTACGACATCAGCGCCGTGCCCGCCCTTTTTTCTCAGCCCGGACCCCACGAGATCAAGCCCTGGCAGCAGCGCGAGTCTTCCCTCAAGTTCCTGACCCGCGCCGTCTCCTGCATGCCCAACGACGCCGGCTACGCCACCAGCAGCATCGAGGGGCGTGTCGCCGTTGAGTGGTTCGAGGACTCAGCCGAGTCGCAGGCGCGCAAGTACGCCTTCAAGTGCCATCGCCAAGCTGCGCCCGCCGAGGGCGAGGGCGACATTGTCTACCCGGTCAACGCCATGATCTTCCACCCGGTGTATGGCACCTTTGCCTCTGGCGGTGGCGACGGCACCGTTGCGCTCTGGGACGCCGAGGCCAAGCGCAGGATGAAGCAGTACCAAAAGTTCCCCGACAGCGTTGCTGCGCTTGCGTTCTCCAAGGACGGCAAGTATCTCGCCATCGGCGTCTGTCCCGGCTACGAGACAGGCATGGAGGACTACAGCGCCGAGGGTAAGGCCAGCGTTTTCGTCCGCGAGCTTGGTGACGCGGAGGCCAAGCCCAAGGGCGCGAAATGATTGACTTCAATGCTTGAATCACCTGTTGATATTCGAGGGATTCTGTGGCGCATGGCGTTTGAGGCGGTTTCCATATGCAAGCAAGTTCGTTTTCACGGACCGGGAGGGTTACGGAAAAGCCTGGTATGTATTATATCAGAAGATACCTCTTGTATTAGGCGCGAAGCGGCAATGATTGTACAAATCTATCTGCATCGAGCTCATTGTCTGGAGGTTGGCTGCCATTAGCGCCTTGACGTAGTGCAATCATTTTTCTTCTCCGATATTCCATCTGTCTTCCACAAATTGCGCCTTTCTCATGATACTATTCGCTGTCTCATGTTCTCAAAAATTCAAAGGGCCCGGCCTTGGTGGTTAGATGTGACAGACTCAACTCCCCTGAAGCATTGGGGGCGTCGCGGATAGGTGGACGAGTGTCTCGTCCGTCCAGATATAATTGCGGCTCGCTTGTAGTCTTGGAAGAGCGTCGGGTAGTTGGACCGGTCTCTCGCAGGACAAAGTTGTCTGTCGTGGCCACCCAAGAGCTTCCTTGGCCATGCGACCGCTTCATCTCCATGCCGGTATTTTTGCTCACAGCTCCATCATTCTCGAGGTTGCCATCGTCGTGTGGGTTGCCCGAGTGGGAGACATGACTGGCAAGCCGTTCGACGGAAGGCCGTACATCAGCGTTCCGATTGCTAGAAGAGGCCATCGACTCTGTGCGAGATGCTTCCTGAGGCTCGTCCAGTATCGCCTCAGACATGAGATACGCGTTGGAGGGATCTGACAATGTCTTTCTAGTTCCTGGTCCTCCCTTAAGAATAGCTACCTCCCTCGATTTCTCGGCACTCAGAAGCGACCCAAGGCCGGGTGTTGGGGGTGGCCTTCTTCGCCGCTTGCCATCGAAGTAGTGTTTGCTGAACTTCGGAACCTCGCGGCGTTCGAATCCGTCTCGAACACCCCGCTGAAGGGTCGGCATCACTGGGGACGCAAATGGCAACACTTTATAATCTTGTGGGTGTATCTCTGCAACCTTCCGGCGCCCCTGCATCTTGACGGGACTAGGCGTTCTAGGGCCGAACACAACGGGAAGACTTCGTTTCTTTGAACTATCAGGTTCCTTCCAAGCTACGGCAATGTCAGCATATCTGTATAGCATCGCATCGACGTCATTTACCTTCTTGTTGGTTAAACCGTCGCGGCTGGTGGGCCACCAAGAAGTCAGACCCAAAGGGAGACTCTGCTCTCTTTCTTTTCCGCCTCTGAAACGGAGAGCCTTCAGTTTTAATATGAAGCTGTGGAACATGACTCCGGACCATCGCATCGGGAAAGGCCTCAGGCGAGTCTCGTGGTTCCGTTTTGATGGCCGAGTGTGTAGCGCCCCGTCCGACGGATGTGACGCTCGAATTTTGCGAGCTATCGGATTGCGAATGTTGGTCCTTCAATGATGAATCGTCATCATCTTGCGATGAAGCTTCCTCTAGGCTGATGGACGAGGTCTGAATGTGATAGGGGTCTTTGGTACGCTGAACTCTGTCATGGTGTGTTTCTTCGGGTGTAAGTGCGACACTCTCCTTGGTCTTAGGCAAGCTCTCTTCATCCCTTCGAAACCTTCATACTGTCAGTCTTCAGGCCCAAATTCTGCTCGTGGCTAACTTACGATGCTGAAGGGGTGCGATGACCGACAATGGGTGGAGTTCCCCGGATGGATGATTCGTCGCCGCTCGAAACCCTAGAGTTATTGCCAGCCGTCAAGTCGCGGTATATTTCTGCGCCAAGGGACCTGCGGCTCTGGGGTTTCTTCGAATAAGTTTTGAGGGTGCGGCCACGGGGCCGCTCAGATTGGCGGCGCATAATGAGAGAAGAGTGGTCTCTCATATCAAACCCATGTAAGATGAGTGTCAAATAGGCATTGTGATATGGCGGGCAAATTGTTCCTGATTCTATGACATGTAGTTGCAGGCGACAAAACGCCTGTCATGAAGAGTTTTCTCTTCGAACTTGAAGTTGGAAGGTGCCCTGTCAGGCGGTGCTTGCCTGCCGAGGAGGAAGGAAGTGCTTAGTGCTGCGTCAGGAAGGAGCCATGCGGTGTCCAGTACAGAGCAACTAGCATGGCGTCTGCTCCCAAGTGCTATTAAGGCGGCGGATATTTATGTATCAAATCGACTGTAAGCCAATCTGCTCTATACACTTATCGTGCGAAGGCAGATGGAACTTGTGTGCCCCATTGACCAAAATCTGACATGCAGTTTCCACTTCCAGATCGATCGGCGGGAGGCTCATGGCCCCCAAACACAATGTCAACGACACTCTCATACTTCAGAAACACATGCCTTCAAACAATCCGAAAAAAAAGTATAATACGTTGTCATGGCTTCATTTTTTGGTGCTAGTATGCCCATCCCACTTATCATACACATTCAGTAGTCCGTCGGGCGCCATCTCGTGCGGTGAGACCTGATTCTCCAGCTCTACTGTCCTTCCTTGGGCGCAATGGCCTTGGGCTCGGGGACGTAATCAAAGGTTCCTCCCATGTTCAACAGCCAGACTTCTCCAGGGGCCGACGGGGCCTTCTCTCCCCACAGGAAGTTGTGAGGGAATCCCATGTCGAACGGTACAGCCGCCTCAATCTCTTGGATGTCCTCGTCGCTCAGGTTGAGCGTCAGCGCCTGGATATTCTGCTTCAGATGGTCGACGGTACGTCCGCCGACGATGGGGAAGACGTAAGGCGTCTTGTGCATGACGTATGCGAGCGCGATGGAGGTGATGATGGTATCCTTGCGGTTGGCAATCTTCTCCAGCACCTGGCTGATCTTGATTTGCGATTCGCTGGCCTGAACCTTGCGGCCCTCCTGGGACTTGCGTTGCTCTTCCGTCTTGAAAGCGCCGCCGCCCAGAGCACCCCAGGGGGCCAGGCCCATGCCTTCGGCCTTGGTCATTGGGATGATCTCACGCTCGAAGTCGCGAGAGGCGGCAGACCAGCGGCCCTGGTAGACCGAGAATTGACGAAGGCCGTGGTTCCTGGCGTATTCGTTTGCCTTGCTGCGTGGGCGTCAGTAGTGTCTTCTATCCGATGCTGCGCCTCACGTACCTGACAACCCACGCCGGAGTGTCACTGATGCCCAGGTAGAGAACCTTGCCCGTCACCACAAGATGGTTCAGGGACTGCATCAGCTCTGGGATCGACGTGGAATAATCCCACCAGTGCACATAGAGCTAGGCGCGAATCAGTGACGTCACTTGGCAACTGGAGATTTCGAAACTCACGAGGTCGATGTAACTGGTTTGCAGCTTCTGAAGACTCGCCTCGACGGATGTGTGCAAGCTCTTGGATCCATTGCCGGTGAAGTTGGCCATAATGTTAGGGGCCCCCGGTCCGGCTTTGAAGTTGGTGGTGTACTTGGTCGCGATGACTAGAGCTGTGTTAGTGAGGAACTGGTGACGAGCTCGACAATCGTACCCATCTGGTCGCGGACGCCTCTCTTCTTCATCCACTCGCCAATCCAGGCCTCGGACTCCTCGAATTGGTAGTTGTTGGCGGTATCGATGAAGTTGCCGCCCTGGTCGTAGAAAAAGTCGAGAATGCCCTCGACGGTCTTCTGGTCACACGTTCCCATGTAACCCTCCCAGGCATTGCCAAAGTTCATTGCGCCGAGGCAGAGAGGGCTCACTCGAACGGAGGCCGTAGGGGAGAGCATGCGGTAGCGACCCAGAGGGGTCTTGGGGGGAGCTGCCATAGGTAGGGCGGACATGATGAGTGTGGCGGCTGGGGTGCAGTGCTGGAGGTGTAAGTTGATGTTGCAAAGGATGAGGGAAAATGAGGTGTGATGGGTGAAGTTGATTCAAAGTGAAGCGGTGATGTTCAAGTGCCGAATTGGTGATGTGATTAGAGGGCATCCAAGAGGAAGGAGGGGTTGAAACTTATACCGCTCTTTGCTTCCTTCCCACTTGGACGCGAAACCGACTACGGGTCGCTACCTGTGCAACTGGCTGCTTGGAGGCGCACCCGTGGACCAGCCCCAGCCGGCAATGCAGGCTGTAGATCCAGTTGCGGGTGATCTCATCATTGCTCGACGAGTGCCTTCAAGCAGGCGGTAGTCCCATTGGATATGTGGGCATTTAGAGTTAGCTCCTGCACCAGCCTTAAGTCCGGGATGCTCCAGCTCGCGTGTGCCATGTAACAAGGCCCTGCACAGAGACCCAGCCACGGCAGTGGATGACCTTGCTTCGTGGTTTGGTTAAACACCGGTCTTAATCCCGAACATGGAGGGGCTTTCGGATTGTGCTCTTCGCATTCTTCGCATTGTGTATGGTCTCGCATATTGAGGCGCTAGCGGGGTCCGGCTGCAGGCCCGATTGAGGCGGCGAATGGAACTACATGGCAACTGTGCTACTTTGGATAAGCTGGATTCATAAGCAGTCGGAGCAACTTTCTCCTTGCCTTGGGGATTGATACGTGAGCACGCACAACACAGTCAACGTTGTCAACGAGGCCGGAACTGCTGATCTCGATGCTGGCATTCCTGCCTTAGTTGCTGATGCCAAGGTCATCCAAGTGTCATTGCACATGGCTAGAGCCATCCCGCCGGTGAGCAGGCATTATCACCGGCTCGCTGGTGCATACGAAGCGCGAGACCGTACAAAGGCAACATAAAGATATCCAAAGCACCTGGAAACGTCTGCAAACCGTAGCTACTTACCTTAACATCAAGTTAAAGAATACCAAAGGCATGGATTAAGCCATTTTGGGTGCTGAATGACCGGCTATAACGGGACCATCGCTCTCACTGGTATCGTCTAGACATTTAATTAGAGGCTCCGTTGCAAGAACTGCAAGTCGACTTGCCGACTCAATGACACCTCATTCGGCTTCGCTTGGGAGGGTTGCAGCGTGTAGTGGTGCAAAGGACTGGGAAACGCAGTGGGGTTGCTACGGCAGTCTGCAGGGCACCCCGCCTGTGACCGACCGCCTGGCTTTCGGCACGGCACCGGAAAATTACTGTGCCGGTGAATTTTCACCACCACCGCGGCCCGGAGCAACGCGACCGAGGGCAGCTAGGCGATGGTACGATAATTCTGGTCTCGACAAGGGTCTCTCGATATTTGCCTGGTGCTTCCCAACAGCCGATTGGCATGCTCCTGCTGCACCACGACGCCCACGCCCGAACGATTGATCGCATGCCCTCCGAGATGAGTCGATAGACGAACCGAATCGGTCATGGACATTGTCGAGCTCGCGCAATGTCTGCACCCCCACCAGTCCCCTCCAAGGCCGCTCTCCATGCGCTGCGAGGCCTTCTCTTTGGGACGTCATGCTCGCTCGTCTTGGTAGCAGAGGAGCGGCGCCAACGCATAAAGATTGCTCGGTCCGCCGTCGAGAATGGGCGGAAGTTGAAGTCCTTGAAACGGTATAGCACCAATGGGCGAGCCACGATCGAGGCATTGCAGGAGGAAGTCCGAACCGACCCAGACTTCTCGGGCTGGTCAAGAAGGTCCAAGAGCCGGTCTTCCGCCGAGCTGTACGAAGCTTCACAGGGGCTTGGGCCCGACCCCCGACGGCCAACGCGCCCGAAAGAAAAGAAGGAGCAGAAAGAATCCGACGGAACGGCGCCGGTGTCCCGCTTATCGGGGGAGCCCCGACATCAAAGACCTGCTGCGGCTGCCAGGAAGTCGCAATTTCAGCCTGTCCAGCCCATTGCGCCAACGAGAAGGCTTGCCCACACGCTCGATGAGTTCTTGAGAGATAACCCTCACCTGGGGAATGTGGACGGACCCCGCTATTCGCCGTCAGATCCAAACCAGTATGCGCCGACTGCGGCCGTAGACTTGGTGCGTCGAGCACAAGCCTCCGTAGCCGACTCTCGAGAACCTCCCGACTGGCTCATCAAGTTATCTACGCTATTGTGTATCGCATGCCAGCAGGAGGGCCACTACACGGACGCCGGGGAGATTCTGCGAATCGTTGTCAACCATGGACCGATCAGTCTGGGCGACTACTTGGCGCACCGGCCAATGGAGCTCATGGAGGCCCTTATATTGGAAAAATTTACCGGGGAAACTGCGCGGACGGATCATATCAGACAGATCAGGAGGCTGTACTTGGCCGACATTGCCGATATCGACCAGGCCCCCTCCCGTGTGCGCCAGCAATACATCGCAATGGGCAAGAATGTGATTTCCAGGGCTCTGGAACTGCAGCGCAGCACCCTCATTACGGAAGTCTTTGGCAGAGTCAAGTACATTGCAAGGGCCCAGCTGTCTGACACGACCTGGTTCATCTGCCAGCTGGCCAAACACAACGAATACACGCTGGCCATCGACACGTTCGTTTCGTCGTACCAGAGCCTGAGACCGAGCTTCCAGACCAGGGAAATGTGCGACCTCGCGGTTGACTGCGTGATCAAGTCGCACAACTACGCCGCACTCGAGGTTCTGGATACCATGTGCCGCTTCAGCCAGCGCGACGGCTGGCTGGTTGAAAGCACATGGGTCGAGTCCATCCTGTGGCAGCAGTGGGAGCGCTCACGCGGCTACACGGGCACGCTGGAACTCATCAATCATGTGCTGGACAACGACTTTTACGGCATCGAACATACGTACGCCATCCGGCACACGATTGTGCGGATCCGCCTCGCGGCACACGACTTAGCACTGGCAAAGAGAGACTTTGAGAGTTTTTGCATCGAATACCCCAACGCGTGGAAGGATATGGAGCTTCGTGGTGCGTTTGCGAAGCAGAAGGCGAGCAAGGGACTTTGGGATGCAGTTCGCGCCGACTTCAATTCCCTCAAGGCGCTGCAGCCGTTTCCCGAGGAGCAGCGGGTAAAGTTCAATGCCATCTTCGTCAGCATCCTCGAAATCTACTCAAAGAGCCACACCTGGGGAGAGACGGAAACGTTCCTGGAGACATACATCCAGGAGCTTGGCGTGACTCCTGACCGCTACCTGGTCCGCTTCATCGCCGACAGGCACGGCAAATGCCACGATATCAAGGCGATGGTCCGGTGGCTGAGGTTCTGCAGAGGCGCAGGGTACCAGACCGACCCGCTCTTTTGGCACGCCGTCTTCAAGAGCTGCAAGCGCGACTGGACGTACAGCGACGAGCACATGAGGGAGCTATATCTCGAGCTCTCCCGAAGCGGGGTCTCCAAGGAGGAGTTCGCCGCTGTCGAAAAGGTGTACAAGCAGCTGTCCAGCGTCCCCTTGCCCGTCGTGACCAAACGCGTCCGGTTGAACGCCCACCGCTTCAGTCCCGCCGACGAGCGCAAGACATACGAGCGCATGCTCCTGGAGGCCCAGCATGAGAACTGGGGTGTGGTGAACTCCATCTACAACCGCGCGGTGCACAACAACATGGGGTTCTCGAGCCGATGCCTGCGCCTGGCCGTACAGGCCAGCATCAGCAGCAACGGCATAGCCTGCCCGAGAGCCAAAACCCTGCTGTCCAAGGCCCAGTCGGATGGGCACGACATCAGCAATGCCGTCATCCCCGTGGTCTTTGCCAAGCTTGATCAGATCGAAAAGTATCACCAGGCTGAGGGCAATAAAGGCGGCCGCGGCTGGCCGTTCCACGATATCAAGGGCGTCTTGTTCGGCCTGCAGAGCGACGGCATCCACATCGCAGACAGCGTGTTTGACCGCGCCGCGCGGGTATGCCTTACGGTACGCAACTACCGCGAGGCCATCACTATCTGCGTCACCGCCGCCAACACCAATGGGCACGGCGACCTGTGCTACAGCCTCTCCAACTTCAAGAACCTCCTCCACGCCTACACGGCGCGCCACGAGTACGACAAGCTGCGCTGGGTCATCTCCCAGCTGGCGGAGCGCCAGTACCGCTTCACGCGCGCCTGCCGCCAGTCTCTCAATTGGGCCATCCGCTACCTCCGCGTCGCCTCCCAATCCGAAAAGGCCGAGGAGCTCATCCAATCCGACCTGGCGACGCTCGACTTTGTCAAGACGGCGCGGGATGCCCTTGGCAAGGAGCACCACACCTCCAAGGCCGACGCGCAGGAGGAGATGATTGACGCCGCGACGGGACGCGAGCGCACAGCCGAGGCGCTGAGCATGGCCAAGGCCAAGCGTGCGGCCACGTTCTTGGCCGGTGTCGCTGCCCAGCAGGACGCCGCCGCCGCAGAACTTGCCGCCAGGTGGGAGCGGGAGAGCGCCGAGGCCTGCTCAGACAGCGATTACGATGAGCCAGCTTGGGGCGACGAGCACCCGGAGAGGCGGCACTCAGCTGACGGGGCGTATTACTAGCACGTCACCCAGGAGGCATGCATGAACTGCCACAGTTGGGCAGGAACATGATGATGAGGCGGGACTATGCATGAATGTTGTAGTGTACAAATATGTGTACATTTAAATGTAAAGCGTAAATCTAGACACATAGACCGTAAGGTGCCAATTACAAGGCATATTTCAGTTCACAAGATGCCGCTCACAAGCGAATTATGGTTCGAGTCACATAACGGACACTTCCATCATTTGATTCAAGCCAAATTGGTATTTGCTCAGAGAAGGGGGGATCTACGCGCCCGATGAAAAGCCTCGTAGGAAGAATAAACAAGCCCGCAGGCCGCACGCGAGCCTTTGGAGAAGCATCTCAACAAGTATGGTACACGTAGCCAACGATCCCAGCCCACAGGGCCCTCAGCCTTCTCCATTCTGGTCCTCCTCAGGAGGGCCTTCGCCGGCACAGTCTGCAAAATGTCAACTTGCCCTCTTGCCTGGCGTCTTTGCTTGTCCTTGGCCAGGACACACTTTCTAGCCTCTGGTCCGCATGGCAAAGTCTTCTCTCTCACTTTCTCTGTCTCTAGCTATTCTCGGCAATTCTTCTCGATTTCCCCGTTCCGTGTGAACTTTGTGATAATAACGCCTCGGCCACCGAACTCGCCCGTCCTTGGATAAAAGCAAGATAGAAACAGTCATCACCAATCATAGCCGAACATGCAGCTGGTTAACGGGCGTGATCGCCTACGATTCGTCGTCCGACCTTGCCGTACCGCCCGTTTTTACGGATGGTGATATGCTGATGGCAATTTTCTTTGGCGCTGCCGGATTCGTCCGGTCTGCGAAGCTCTTCTTCTTCCTGACGATGCCCGACGTCATGGCAGCGTTCGAGCCCGCGGAGCTGCTGTTCCTCCGCTTGTTCTGCATCATCTTGCCGAGCTCGTCGTCGTCGTCCTCTTCACGACGCCGCTTTTCCGACAGTCGTTCTGGTGGCGCCACCGACGACGACTCGCTGCTCGTATCGGAAGTGCCATCTGCTTCCTCTTGCTTTTCACCCGATGTTGGCAAGACCTCGGGGTCCGTGTTTTCCGCGTTCTCGTCCGCCTCGTCATCTGAGGGGTAGTCCACCAGTGGTTTTGATGAAGTCGTCGACCCGTCAAACCCATTTGTCGCATTCATCTTATCGAACGCCTGAGCCTCGGGGTTCTCTTCGTCGTCAGACGTGTTGAAGTACTCGTCTTGCTCGCTGTCCACGTGGAGCTGTTCCGCCAGCCTTGTGTGAGGGTTGCCCATCCTCTTTGTGTGGTCCTCTTCCGACTCGTTGTAGAGGTCGAGAGTGAAGCCTTGCGTTTGGTCGAAGTTAGCGACCATGGACTTGAAGGTGTCCTCGTAGCTGAGCGCGACCAATCGTTCTCGGTAGTTGTGGACCAAGAACTTGCAGTAGTCCTTCTTGTTATCCTGTGCGTTGATGTAGACAAAGAACTCCAGGCAAGCTGAGCTGAGCAGGTTGTCACGAGGCATCGACTTGGACACCAGGTCGAGGAGCGGCAGCAAGATCCCGTGATCCATAATGTGCTTGTCCCAGAAGGAGTCCTGCAAGTTTGCCAAAGTGCGGAAAAAGCGAACGGCAACTGTGAGTGGTGGTTAGCAGAGGCCTTGTGGTCCTTGCAATTGAGCTTACCCAGTTTCAGATACTTCTCCGGGCACGCCAGCAGCTGAGCCACTCGACGAAGCACGTCATGCTCGAGAATGAATTGCTTCGCGCGATGTCCGTGCTGCCTGATGAAGAAGCACAAAATTTCAATCAAATACGTGAATATGGAGGCCTGCTGAAGCGGGAAGGTCATGTCCTTGCGCTCCTTCAAGTCGAAGAGTGGCTTGAAGAGACGCGGCGCCGAGTTGATGTAGAAGGTGTTAACATATACATCTTGCTGTACGTCAATGTGTCGCCGAGAGTTGAATTCCGCACTGGCCTTGGGGGCGATGACAGGCTCTGGTGGAGGGGGGTGTTGGCTCAGTACCACGTCGAGGAGAACCTTCACCGCGTCTGAAATTTGTGACTTTACACCGAGATCGCACTCCACCAAAAGGAGATCGATGAGGGAATCGGTAAGTGGCACTGTGCGTTCCGTGATTTGTCGGTAGATTGTGTGACGGATCAACTGGGGATCGTGGTCGATCAGAGCCACGAGAACATCAGTTGCACCCACGCGGACGCCCACGTCGTTGTGACGCAGGCCAAAGTTGATGACCTGTAAGAGTCCGTGATGGAGGAAGTTCGCGAATAGCGTCTGGCGCGCCGGCGGCTGAAGGTTTTTCGCGATGGCGCAGCACTGCTGGATGAAGAGCACGGCGTCCTTCTTCTTCTTCTGGTCCGGCTGGGTCGGCTTGAAGATGCTGAAGAGTTCGCTGAGGAACCCGGAATTGCCCTGCAGGTGCTGGACGATGTCGACCTGGTTAAAGAAGATCAACGAATTCAGGACGGAGAACGTAGGGTCGTCCAAGATGCGAGCGAGCACGACGTCTTTCAGGTACTGTAGGCGATATGTCTGGTGGATCTTCTTGCGAATGTTGTCGTCCTCGATAGGGACCACCTCCTTGTATCGCCCCTGGTTACCCAGCCAGTGTCGGTGATTCGCCTTGTGGCTCGGGAAGTCGGGGTCGTATTCGAGGGCGCCGACCACTCCGATGACGAATGCGTCCGATACCGCCGCTTCGATGATGGCGGTGTCGTTCAGCAGGATGATGTTCTTCATAATGTTGCACAGCCGGTGCAAGTCGGGGAGGCTCTCGAGGTCTTCGGCCATCTCGACCAAAGGGAGCAGGCGGGCAATGTAGTCACCCGGAGGCGTCAGGCATTTGACCAAGGCGTCTCGCCCGCTGGCCGTTTGGCTCATGATGCGCATGCTGGCCTCAATCTCTGGGAGGTTTCCAATCTCTGCCGCAGGGAGACTGATGGTGCTTGGCAGCTCCATGGCGAGGTCGTCGGAGAGGCTGTCATCCGCTGCGACCAGCCCGCCCTGGAAGGTCTGCTGTACGCTGTTGACGAATTTCCTACAAGAGACAATCATTAGCGACAAGGTCGCGCTTGAGAGGCGAGACAACTCCGTACCAAATCAAGGCACACCCTTCAGCCTCCTGGAAAGACAGGGCCATGTCGATGCCGTTGCTGGGTTCCGTCCAGACGATCAGGGTCTCTGTTTCTTCAGTCAGTCGATATGCGCCAGACGAAGCATCAATGTGCAGCTTGCCTTGCTGTTTTTGGAAGCCGTCTTCCTTGCAAATCTTGGTCTCTAATAGCAGCCGGTCGGGGTGGTCTTCCGATTCGACAATGACCCGGGGGTCGCGAGGTTGGCCATCTTCCGTCTGGTGGCACGCGATCGGGTTAGCATCTGATCCGACGACAAAAAGCAGCCCAACCGTGACGACGCGTGACGATCGAGAAGGCGCGCAACATGACGTACCTGCATAAAAGCAGCGGTGCAGAAGCCGGTGCCTCGGTCGAACCAGTCATTGTTGCGCAGCTCGTAGACCTTGACGCGTTTCTTGTCCGTCGCATGATGAGGCACGGGTTGTGCCATCATCAATGGTTCGGTGCCCCCCTCGGTGCTGAGACGGGGGTAGCTGAGGATATCGGGGGCGAGGTCGAGGTGTTGTTGAAGGGACAGCTCAGCGTCGGTCTGGCTAAGGATGGTGAGCGCCACTTTCCCGTCGGTCGGTCGCGCCTGGAATGGGGCGCGGCTCGCAGCAGTCGAGAGATCGGTCGGGCACGAGACTCAAGACAGTGGAAGTCGTCGTCGTCGTCGATGCGGTTGTCGATGGTTTGTGGCAACGTGAAGTGCCGGGTGACGTAGGGACGAAGTGATCAGAGAGCCATCAAAATGGGAGGGGGCGGTCGGGTCGCGCGATTGGCGGGCGCCGGGACTTGAGCGACGCAAGGCAACGTAGGGTGAGCGAAGGATGGGTGCTGACGCGACTGCGATAACGGAGTCGGGAGCAGCAATGGCAGGCAGCGCGAGTCCGAGATGAAGACCGGCGATGCGAGAATCCGGAGCGAATCGTCGGGGGCGACGCGGCGCAATTTTTTGTCGGGTTGCGTGGGACGGGGTTGATGATGAGATGGAGAGAACTTTGAGGCTGTATCCGGTCGGTCGGACAGGAAAGGCGAGGACTGGACTGGGAGGGACTGGGACTGGGACGGGATGCTAGGCAGTGTGTGCTTGCTGGGCTGGGACGGAATGTACGCTGCGCTGCTGCCCGCTGTCCGCCGTCCGCTGGCACTGTGGGCGGCGATGGGCGGTGGGCCGCAAGGGTCGGCGGGCAGGAGGCGAACGCTGCACGATTCCCTGGCAGTTCGCGCCGGTCGCCCAGTGCCAGCTGCCCGCACCACACTTTGCCCCCAACCCGACACTGCACCGGGACTGGAACCTTGCCCTCCCACGGGCCAGTGTCTCCTCTCCTCGTGCTGTTTCCTGCCCAGCGGTATGTGACCCGCACTAAGGTACCTAACTAAAGTGGATACCAGGTGTCCGGTGCACGGGCCAGTTCCGGTCTTTGGGGGCTTGCGTCAACCTGCGGCTGCTCGTCTAATTGCCTCTTTTCGGTAGGCGCTCGTCTGCGGTTTTGCCGCCAAGTGGGGATGCGGGTGACTAAGCATCAGGTATCGAGTGCCGGGATGAGCTCGCTACTCGTCTTTTTGTGCGACTTCAGGCTCCAGGAGTTCGAGGCACGGAACCATCGAGTTAGACGTCGAGGACCCTGCAGGCGCGCCTAACCGGCCGGCTTTGCCCTCCCATTCCACCCAAAGCCGTCACTTTGTTGGGCGCGTCTTAAGCTTAAGTTCGGCCGCGAAGCACAGCACGCCCGGTGCCTCTGGTCTTCATTTCTGCCCTGCCCAGCTATCCATGGTATCTCTGTGGGACCGAGGAGAACCTGGCAACACAAGGTTGTTGATCTACTGCACACTCGAACGCAACTCCCGTCAGCTTCCCCGCACTTGATCCTGCTGTTGATCAGCGCCGAGCGATTCCAGCTGTCTGGAATGGCTGTTTATCTGCCACTAGCTCCTGGCAGCATTCCTCGCTTTTTTGAGCTGATGTCCATCTGAAGTTGGCCCGCTGTCAAGTCTGCAAATGCATGTGGGCTCCAGGGTGAGACTGTTCCAGACATTGACTTTGAGGGATCAGTCACAAACGGCCACTTGCAAGCACCATCAAAGAGGTGGTTTCCTGGCGAGTGGCTAGCTGTGGTCGATACTATGTAGTCAGACATCGCAATGGTCCATCCCACCATGCCACCTCGTCTTGAGTGGCTGAGTGGTTTCTCTGCTCTCAATGCAATCATCAGTCTCCTCTGCAAACAAAGCATTCATCCGTGAAAACAAGCGCGCAGTCCCGGGCAGCTGCAGCAAGAGAACTCCAGAGTCGGATGTGCCCCACGTCTCAAAATGGCTCCCAAACGGATCAGCAGCTCCAGCTTGGTTGCTTCCGTGCAGATCATCACGGGAGCTCGAGCCACCCAGCTGGGGCCAGCAAAAGCAGGGCTCTCCTCTCGCCTGGAACGCAAAATTCAAACATGCAGGGATCCAGCGCTGTCAGATTGCCATCTCCACGACATCACATTTCCAATTCCCGTTCTTCCACGGCTTTCACCGCCAAGCACGACCCAGGGGCAATGACACAGCTGTCCGTTCTCTTTTGCCTGTCGAACTCTGTTCAGGATCAGGTTCTTCCAATATTAGTCGAATCGAGGTGGCATGGCCCGATTCGATCGGAAAACCTCTGTGCGTCAGCTACGCCGGTCACCCAAAAGAAGCAGCAAATCCTTCATGTTCACCAGATAACCCGCAGAAGTTATATGGACATGTCAATAGACGCACGCACTGGCGATGTCCTGGAGAAATCGATGCAAAAGGGTCAACAGCAGGTGCATGCGCGTTTGCCTGCGTCTGCCCGCATCTTGACGGAAACGCATCAACCCCCCCACGGATTGGCAACCGTGCCTTACCGTCAAATACGGACACAGAGGCCAGCAAAGCATGTGGCGGTCCACCGGAGACCTGCAGCTGCAGTTGGGACGTTTGCTGTCGTTCGAGCACGACTTTCCCAATCGTGCTGACGATGATGGTCAGCGCGGGCCGAATCTCAACCACCGTCGCTGCTATTTCCGTGGACCTAGAGCTGCGAGTTGCTCGCCTGCATGCTCGGTCGCCAGATGGAGCCGCGCCAGATACGAGACAAAACTTGCGCTTCTTTGTGTAGAGCAACGGGAGAACGCAATCGAGTGGGATCCACCATTCCTATCGCCGTCAAGCCTTGTCCATCAAAACGCGCATGGCGATGGCTGAAAAAAAGGGTGCGTTCTCAGCGGTTATCGGGGCCGCGGTGGCTGAGCTGATCACCCATCTGTTGTTGTCATGAACTGTGCAGAAATGGCGCGGTGACCTCAACGAGACAAAGGGAAATGGGACGTTTCGGGCTATTTGAACGGCAAGCTGCCGTTTCACGATTTAAGCTATTCCGATATTCCCGGATCGGCGGCGTCTCTTGGCCACGGCGCATATGCGAGCTTCACGCCGGTTACTTGTCTGACGTTGTCACCTCTCGAATCACGGCGTCGGGCGTACGCCCAATTGCCGTCATGCGAGTGCCGGCGGCGGCGACACCAGAATAGAGTCCTGCAATTCCGCCTACGCGATAAGACGATGAGGATTCTACCTGCGCCTGCCGACGACAGCAGCCCGTCTTTCATCTCTGCGTCAATCTCAAAGACGCATTGGCGCACCAGCAGTGAGATTTGACCGTCACGTCGCGACAGGGTTATATGCGGATTGACCAAGGAAATATTCCCACTCTGGCGCCGAGCCAAGGGGCATCATTGGGCCCTAAGCAGGGGATAGCGAACCCGTAGCGAACCCGGGCGGGCCGGAACCTGCTGGCGACGCCGCGACGGAGAAAATTCCAGTTGGGGCGAAAACAGGGGCCCTTGGCACGTCCGCGGATGGCGCCTCAGCCCAACAATCTCGACGGTGCAGAACGATCAAGTTTTCTAGGGCACTCTGCGAGCGAATGAGATCAAGGTCAATGGGGACGTCTCAACTCAGCATCTTATCTCTGTGGCTTTCCGGTGCCTGAGAGGGCAGCCAAGCAGCTTGAGAGACGCTCATCCATTCATGCCCTATGTTGTCTGGCGAGTGGCCAATATGCATGTCAGACTGCGATATTACCCAGTTTTCCCGCCCAAGACCAGGCAGGCCGAAAAGATGTGATGCGGCCGGTCTGTGTCGCAGAAGCATCTCGTCTGATTTCTCTGCCGCATGCATGAGGATAAGAAGGACGGGCGGCACGATTGACATATGGACATGTTTTACTTGTGCGTTGCTGCCGTGCGGCGGCCGCGACATACATGATATCCCACGGGTACGCGAAGCATGGTGAGGGTGGGATGGGACGGAACATTGTTCGAATGGCAGGGTCGCATCATGGCGTAGTTATTGATAGAGCACCACCCATGCGTTGATCGGGGCGGTCCAGTCTAGGCTTGGACTGGCCGATCAAGAGACACGCCCCCCTCCTCCTCCTGCTCCCTGAGACTTTGGTTCAGCTGGTGCGTGGCAGCGTGTCGCCAGCCCGCCCGGCATGACGGCAAGCTCTTTCATCCCAGGCCTAGTCTCGCCGTCCGCCTTTTGGGAGTCTTTGTGGTGGCAGCCATTCAAGACATACATGTGGTTTATACGATATCTTGCGCCTCTTGAGGCAAGCCACAGGCAAGCGCTGCCAATGCCCAGCCTCACGATGGCCGGAAACGCGAGAGGACGAGGCTGAATGGCGACAACCTTGACGTTGAACGTCTGGCAGGGGCGTCAGACACACACGAGGAGGTGTCGGGGGTAGACGCCATCTCACCGGCACAGGGGCTTCAGAGATAAGAGAGAAAAAGCAAAGACTGATCTGGCGTCGGCGATGCAACGGTATGCTGCACGGTGAGGTTATTCCACTCAAACGGCGCCATGACAGCAACGCGGACTATTGCTCAGCTCGAGGCTTCGAAGAGGAAGCCGGGCCTTTCGAAAACAATATTTCCAGGGCCAGGTTCCCGGGGGTTGAGATACCACCTGGTAGTTGCCCAATTCGACTCGGCCAGCGCCTGTGCTATGCTGCTTTTTTCACCATTCACGTGGAGGAAACCCCCCGTCCAGTTCTGTTTTGGGTCCAGGAGACTGGGTCAACATGCAAGTCGGTGCATCGGAGCACAGGAGAGCAGGCAGACGGGCTTTTTGAGGCGGTCGGGGATTAAAAGGTAGGTGTGCAAGCCGGCGGCAGCGAGTTTGCCGTATGCCCATGTCGACTTGCACGAGATAGGGCAATCGGACTTTCGAAATGAAGGGCGCAAATTGAAGTCTGAAGAATATTGGCACATCCCGGTCGGGTATGATGAGGTGGGAGTCGGGGGCGTCTGGACCTGCAATACGGATGACAGCATCGAGCGCGAGTTTGGACCGTCGTGCTTGGCGCCAGGAACCGGCGTTCAGGCACTGGAATCAGACCTCAGCGCGATGGAAAGGTTGTTGTCAGACACGAGC